CGTGCTGTCAAACCTACACTAGCAAGGAGATCGGGCTGAAACTATAGCTACAAGCTATCCAAGGATGGTACTATAGAATGTCACCTCAAGGTAGGCCTAGTGGCGTCATCTCTTGGTTAGGCCGGAAACTTATCAATCCACCCTCGTATATACAGATTTTACACAGAACGACAGTTAGTTCTCGCACCATGGCTCAGCTGGAATCTGTCCAGTTCTTAAAAGTACATTGATTGTGGGGAAAGCTGTATTTGAATCGTATTCAATACTAACAACTGAGCAAGTGTTTTAGTCTGCCCACGACCCGTAGTAGCAGTTAAATTGTAGCAAAAAATTATAATCGGCCGATGCCTCAGTTACGTTAATAAGACGTACTAATTTTGAAATTATGTATCCCTTATATGACCCATCCCGAGCCTCGCAAACTGCAAAAATTCTATTCGTGAATATCATAGCACATTTTGTTTTTCTCTTTTTTTTGTTTTGGCTTGACAACGTCAATACCAATATTGTCATTGTTGTTTGTGTTTTATTTAAATTTCGGAACAACATAAATCGGCTATCTTGATAATATTTTTTAAGTAAAATTGTTAATTAATGTTATACCTATAATACGTACATGGCGTTTAGATGTTTTGATATTTCAAAAATATGCGGATTAGAAATATATAAATAGATAAACCGATCAGAGTGCACATTCATTGTTGCGGAATAATTTAATCTGTAACAATTGCTAACCAAGCTCAGTCTACTTTAATTGGTAATTTGCAGTTATTGTTAATAACTCAATATATATATGGGTCGAACCGAAAAAAATATTTCTTATTAGATTGCTTCATGGTATGCTAATATACAAAAAAATATTTTTGGAAATAATGGTATGAAAACGATATTTGAACAATAGCTGATAAAAATTCAATCGCGTCAATGCTATTATTTTTTTTATTTAAATTTATGTTCAAATACATAGACATATATGTGTAAGAAATGATAATCGATTATTTATTGATTTCAAGTAAAATGAGTAGTTTTCTCTTTTCGTAGGCCACTACATAAACAAATAAATAAATGAAACCGTTTACTTAATTACATATTAATATTTTTATCGCGTTTTTTCATTATTATCTTTCGTTACTTAGCTGTTATTTGTTTGCGCTATATTTTACGCTCTGCAGCAGTGGCGGTTCGGGGTGATTCACATAGGGGATGCAAAAGCTCAAAATTAAGAAATTTCGCCATAATTTTTGCTACGGTGCACAATTAATTAGATGCTAATGTAGCTCGTGAGCAAGCTAAAACTCTTGCTCAATTTTTAAGCGTTATGTGGTATCGAAGACGCTTGGGTAAAGGTCTAGATGAAGGGGGTGGGGGGGAGGATGATCGAAAGAGGAGGTCTCCCCCACCACTGTACCATAAAAAGTTCGTGGCGGTCTCACCCCCATAAAAAGTTATGGGGGTTCAAAGTTAACAAGTATGCCAATTTTTATACATTTCTATTTATATAGCCATTCTTAAACAATATTCAAAAGTAAAACTAATGAAAAATACATAAAAATATTGAGAAAGTTATATAAAACATTATTTAAGTATCTTTATCAATAGGGTAGGTTAGGTTAGGTTATCGGGTTTTGTTCAAGTGACCACCCTCTTTCGATCCCCCACCTCCACCCGCTTGAAAATATTTTTTTTATTGAATTTTATTTGAATTATAGTGTATGAAAATTGTCAAAATAAT